GGGCCTGGGGCTTTATGCGGGTGACTGGTGGAGCTTCTGGTTTCACAGCCTCGGCTCTGTGATTGAGGGTTGAGGGTTGGCGTTGCTTTGTTAACAACCTGTTTCTGACTTCTTTTGCAGGAACTGAAACAAATGTTTCTGCAGCTGTAGAGATCACCAATCTGGACTGGTGGGTTGGCTCCTCCCCTCAGCCTGGCCTCAGTCCAATCTAAGGCCAACATGTCCCAGTATTTTTGCTTCTATGTTTCCATTGCCACCGTGCTGATAAAGAAAGGTGTTTGTTTTTAAGTCCTTCAAAAGTGGAGTGGAATGAGTAGGTAGTGGGGTTGGGGAAGGAGCTGGGAATAAATTGACTGACGCAGGAGAAGAGGGGTCCCTCTAGTGAGAATGTACCGTTGACTCTTGAACAACAAGGGTTTGAACTGTGGGGGTCAATTAAGGGCAGATTTTTTTTTTTCAATAAATACTGTGACTGTATTTTCTCTTCCGTATGATTTTCTTAATAACATTTTCTTTTCTCTAGCTGACTTTATTGTAAGAATACAGTGTATAACATACAAGTAAGTGTTAATTGACTGTTATTGGTAATGCTTCCTGTTAACAGTAGGCTATTAGTAGTTACGTTTTGGGGGAGTCAAAAGTTATACGTGTATTTCGGCTGTGCAGGGGAGTCAGCACCCCTCACCCCGGTGTTGTTCAAGGGTCAACTGTAAAAGCAGATCTCAAAACCTTCCCAGTGGATCTGGAAGCTACTTGCCACTTTAACGCTGACTTTCCGTGGGGCCGCCCCACCTTGCTCACACAGCTTCCTCTCACCACTCACGTGTCTACAGAGAAATGGACCTTGTTCCTGCCACAGAAAGAGTGGGGGCCTCCACTCTGTTAGATCAAAGCATGTCCCAGCACTGTGCCTTCTCCTCCTACAGAACTGATACAACCAACCAGAGTCCTCTGGTCGTGGTCCCTTGTTTTCAGTGGGTAACTCAGTGAAGGGTGGACAGCTGGGAGTATGGAATGCTGATGGTCATGTCCAGGGCACTGAAGTGGTTCAGGGGTTCAGGAAGCAAAAGAGCGTCTATGCAACTTCCCTCTTCCCTCCTTAACTCTTCCTTCTCAAAGGGCAACTCGGGACCTCATTCCCCTTCTAAATTCTACTCCAGATTGGTGACTCTGAGATGCAGAAATACCATTGAGAGATGGACATTTCTCATTAGCTGGGATTCCCAAGATTTTACAATATTTATAATTTTAACAAGTATCCAGATGTGATTATGTATTTCATATATTTGTTTTAATTATTAAGAATTATAATGAGTTCTATTGTGGTCATTTCACTTGTATCTCTAGATAATTTAGGGGCAGAGCATCCCCAAATTAGAATTGGGAATCATTAATCTGTTTGTCACATATTAGGCCTTTGTTATTTCTTAAAGGACTAGTTCTTTATTTATCATCATCATCATCATCATCATCATCGCCATGTAACCTTCTTTCCAAGTTAACCTGTGTGGAAATCCAATATCTAAACAGACCACAGAGCCGGCACTCTGGTTAAAGTGGGTGAGAGACCAGGGGTCCCCAGCCTCTGCTGCCCAATCATTGAGGAGCCCTAAGGGACCTTGAGGAGCATGGCACTCAGTCTGAAAACCGCTGGCCTGTTAATTGACTTTGTAAGAAATAACTTCTCAATATTTTCCAAATCAAATCTTAATTTATTTACCAGTTACTCTGTATATCCTTTCCTTTCATCTACTCTTTTTTTCTCCTCTTGAATTTCTAACAATGGATACCATGCAGGCATCACTGAAGGCCTATAATCAGTGGTAGAGGTTGGAAACCATCGCTTATGGAAGGTGTGGTTTATTTGCCTTACCTTATGTTCTACTATTTATCACTAAGACTCTACTCACCTAATGCTTTTCACGCAGCAGTTTCCAGCCCTTCATGTTGCCTCTTGGCCCTGGGACCTCCTCTGAGAGAAAGCTTTAGTACTCTAGAGATAGTTGCTAAGGAGACATTGGGAGTAGCTTAATGGTTCTAACTCAAGAACCTACCACCGCATAATATTGAAAGTTTTTTGTTTGGGGGCGAAGAAACAGAAATATTCATTAAAGAATTGAACCAGTCTCTCCACAGAATATATTTTATTTCTAAATTTGGGTTGCAGAATACAGAATTTATGAATGGGATTATTTCTTGAAATACGTTTATTTGCATTTCTCTAAGTGCTTTGTCATGGCAGAAGGTAAAGGTTGCTCTTAGGAGACAACTTTCACAAATTAGCTATGTGTCTGTCCACTGTTAATTAGGCAGAATTTTCTTTATGGGAATGCGTAGCGCACCCATAAATTTCACGCAGTTTGAGAATCTACATAGCAATTCTTTCTTGTGTCCCTTTCATATTTAATACCCATGGTTAGAAGCTAGATGACAAACTCATTTCCTATACCCATGTTTAAGCTGTATTTTCTGTGCACCTCAGTAAATTCACTGAGCTGCCTTTCTAATTAATGCATGAGGATAGTCTACGGAGGAGAATATTTGAGTTATAGGGCGTTTTACTGGCGAGCGTGAGGAGTATTTTAGCCAAGTAGCATTATCTCCCCGCTGCTGTGAGATACGGCAGCCTTAAGTGGGCCGTTTATTTGGGTCTTTCAGTAAATAATTCACTGAGCAACTAAGATTCAGCTGAAAAAGCAACAACAAAAACGGTGACCGCCACTCTCAACTTTCAGCGCCAGCTTGATCACGGTCAGCCACGTTCCCAGGCTTACTCAGTCCCTTTTCTTGGGAACTGGAAGGGGATTGCAAAGGGGAAAAGTTAGAAACTTAAACTATGCCATTAGATCTGATATTGAAAATGAGATTTTTTTTTTGACATGAAAAGCCTGCTGTTCCAAATCTGAGGCCAAAAACGGGTGGATAAACATAGCATGAGAATCGGAGGGACCAGCGCTGCCGGGATGTGTCTGCCTCACGGGCCACGGGCCGTGTGTTGCCGGTGCCCGGGGGCCGCACAACACACGGGCCCCCGGTGGACGGATGACACAGCAGCTGGGGTCAAGGCTTCTGCCTGTAAAATCCCCAGATCTTACTTTTAAAGCGGCGCTCCATTAGTTCTCATACTTCAAAAGTAAGAATGTCTGAGTGGGAGGGATGTTTTTACGGCTGACACTCCATCTCCCTTAACTTTTTCATCATCAGACCCAGAGCCCTCGATAGGAATTTTACACACTCTACTCACTATCACAGCAGTAATGAAATGTATCCTTTGGAGAAACTGGAGCACCATATATATTTATGATGATTAGTATGTTGGCCATGGGGAGGAGGCATCCGAGAGCATAGACGGCTGCCAGTGTAGGTGATCCCTCGCGATGAGCTGTGTTTGCTGTGCCTGGCACAGCGCCTGGCACGTAGCAGGTACATGTTAAGCCCATGCCTCAAAAGCTGGTTTAAAAGTGGGTTCCTTGGACCTTCAAGTGTATTTCCCTGTAGAAAATGATGCTATTAGTAATGAGTAGATTCCCAAGCCAACCCATCGTAGCTACTTTATGTATTACATGCCAGATACAGAACAGAAATGATTTACGTTTGTCTAGCTTTGCAGTGTACCAATTCTTCATCGACGCATGTTTCTTCTTCATGGTTCCTCTGTGAGTAGCTAAATAATGTAACTCTCCTGATTTTAGAAATGAGAAAGTTAAATACCGGTGGACCGGGGAGTGTGTGGGGGGGGTATTATCATGATTAAGAATGAAACTGAAAGAATGTGTCATGCAATCTTGGGGTCTACATGTTTATTGCCTTCCTTTCTTCCTTCCTTCACCTGACTATACCTCAGCTGTAGGGCTGGCAAGCCACCGATGAGTTTTCTTAGGGAAGGGGTCAGGTAAGCAGGTAAGTCCAGCATTTCCCAGCCCTTTACTCATGTATTCTTTTTTTTTTTTTTTAACTCATGTATTCTTTAGGTATGCCCAGATTTACCATAGGCCCAGTGGAACAGCTTGACTTATTTCTATGAATGTATTAACCTTGGGAGGTGCCCCCTGCAGTCACGAAATGCCCAGGTGTCTTTTTGGTAGCCAACGAACACATTTTCTTTTGAACAGTGAACTCTTGGCTCCTTGATGGAAGCAAACTCAAGGCCACAAGGGGTTTGGATGAAATAACCTGTTCATAAGGGCTGCCGGGGTCTAGGGTTCAGACAAAATTGCCATCAGTTTCGGATGAGACTGAGAGGCAGTGAGGATGTCCACCCTAGGACTCTAACCCGTAGACTCGCTTCAGCAGGCTTAAATCAGCTCCGGGGACCAGCTGTCATCAAATATTTCATAAACCTTGAATCTATCCAATAGGTTGGGTGTTTTGAGCATTGTTATGGTTTCTTCCGCCTCTTTTAAGCTGGTGAGTTCCTTTTTACCATTTGGAGGGCCTTGAACACGAAACCCATTCAGTTACCACCAATCAGACCAAGTAATCCTATTTCTGCTATTGCCCTACACATTTGAAATCTTTAATATCTAAATCTCTTGGAGCAGTAAACTAGATTCCAATATTTCTAACTTAGAAAAAGTAAGAGAAATCAAAATACTAATGTCTTTAAGTCACCTCTCCTCTGTAAGAATCCTTTAAAATATAAGATATTCCTACCAACGTGTGTGTGTCCGGGGTGGCGAGGTGTGTGGGGGGATATAAATGTAAACTTCACAAATGAATGGCTAACATCTTAGATTCCTCATCGGAAAATAAAATGCATTTTCACTGACCTGTTGACATTTGAACACAGGTTGGAAGGTGTTTAAAAAATTTTATTTCTATCAGTGCTGCAAATTAGCCAATAGGATGCTTGGAGTCCACCCAAGTCAAACTCTGCTCATGGAGACTGGAAACAGAATCATTAGGGTACGATGATTGGGTTTGGTAAGGAGCAGTTGTATCAGTGAATGTTCAGCCTGAAATGAAATCAGTACAGGTGTATGTTTATGAGTGTTTTTAGAAACCAGCTGTAGACCACATCAGATTTTGAAGTAGTTTCCTTGAGTGGGCCAGGAGGGGAGGACAGGGAGGGTGCACGGGGCCACAGAAAAGCCTCTGTGCCGTGTGCTGCGGTGCCCCGTCCGCGCAGCTCCGGAGCCACGGGGAGCATGTGTAAATAATCAGCGTGAGCTGCTCTGTCCGTGACATTAGGAACCAACAGAGGAAATCCATTAACTGCATCATTGGCTCTTCCTCCGGAGCTCGCTCTATAATTATTTATGTTGAAAACAAAACAAAACCAACCCTTTTTACTCTTTTAGCACTCGGGAGAGCCTGGCTTCCAACACGTCAAGCATTGTTGAGAGTAACCGCCGCCAGAACCCCACCTTGAGCCCGGCCCACGGCGGCGCTGGCCCGGCCTTCAGCTTCCGAGCGAGCGCGGACCCCCCAGCCAGCGAAGCCGAGAAATTACAGAAACCTTCCAACTGCTTGCAAGCTTCTGTGACTAGCGTGTGACCGTTGTTCTGCCTCAGATCTCCTGTCTCGTTCGATACGGCCAAGTTTACGACCCTGGGACTGATGTTTACATCTTCGGGAAGACAAGCATGTATGCCACAGTTTTCGTGTTTACTTAAACTGTGCTGCTAAGTAGGCTAGAGCAAAACACGAACGTCTTTCTTTCCGAGTATTGCTTTTCACATTTGCGGCTCTGTAGCAACAGAATAGCAGTAGGGGTGATCTGTACACTTTTGCTTCACTAATTGTAACTGAGCACACATAGGAGAGTCTAGACACTGTAAGTGTAATATGCATTTCAATGTCATGCGGTTGCCAGTTCCATTTCTAAATGCCACAGGTGCGTGTTGCTCCCAGTCTGTGGGCAGATGGTGCCACAGAACTGATTCTTGCCACTTCCAGACAAACAAACAAACAAAAACAAATGAGGCCAACACAGAATGTCAAATGCAAGGGCCCACCGTGAGGGAAATCAATGCCAAACAGCCGAGAAGAGACCCCAGCCCTTTGTGTGTGAGTCGCTTACGCACCTGTCATTTTCACTGTGAGTTTCCGTGGCGCGATTTTGCAGGAGCCCGAGGAAGTGTGTCCGAGGGGGTCGGGATGGAGATACTGGGAGTGTGTGTTGTCAGGATTTTTGTTTCTAAGTGTCACGGATGCTTGTCTGAGTTTTAACCTCCCACAATCACAAGCAGGAATATAGGCCTTTGAATCTGAAGGGGTAAAAAGGAAGGGGTCCCCGGTCCGGCTGGGACACAGCGCTGGGTGATGGAAGAGGTAACGTGGACTTTTAGAAGGTGTGAGCCCAATACGTGAGGAAGGTCGTTTCCTCTTTGGGATACTTATGACGATCCCATCTTGCTATAGTGGATACGATAATTAGTTTGTTTAAAAGCAAAATGTTCTTTGTGATACAAATGAAGAGTATGGCCTGGGGGTGCTATTCTTTCTAATGGAAGGACATAAATCTATTTTATGTAGTTTTAAATAGAATGCCTAAATTAGGCTGTGGGAGATCATTTTTAGTGGTTATAGAAAAGAGAAAGATTTAGGGAAAGTTGAACTTCAGGCCTTTTATTCCTGGGAAGATATCTATACAGAAAACTTTAAAGTAATTTTTGATCAGAAAATATACATGTGCCCATGTAATTAACAACAGAATGTGCTCATTCTGCGATTGTGGTATGATTCTAACTTGTGCTCCCCTAAAATCGACCAGGATAGCAATTATGCATATAGGAACTATGCCAGAGTGATGTTTACAGAGACTTAGTAACCGGTTTCAGGAGGCATTTCTAGGTGGATGTATGGTTATCAGACCAGCGTGTTTCAAAACGGCTTGTTAACATTTGGCTTTGGTTTGCAGTGTCACGTTGAATACAAAGTAGCCGGCGAGCAGCAGAGGGGTGACAAATAAGCTTCAGCCTTTTAGGAAGGAGATTTTTCAAAGTCCCCGTGTTTTATTTTATGGGAACAAGGAAATCAATCTGTAGATAATAAAAAAATTATTTGCAAAAGGGTTACATAGGACACAGGTTAAAGGGTCCAACAAAGGGTTTATTTAGTTTAGTGGCATGTGATGTTTGGAGTCATAGACCATAAAATATATACCCCAAAATCAGTCTAAAAGATTTTCTCCTCGGATTGCAGTCAACGGTATGGCATTGGCGAAGCACTGCTGCTCCGGTGTTAGGTTTAATCGCCAGCGGCCTGTTGAAAGAATGCAGTCGCACACGTGGTCGGTCTGATTCTGGAAACATTAGGGTGCTCCCTCACGCTCTTTCAGATATTTGGAAGTTGCATCGGGAACCGGATGCATCAAGTTCAGTCTAGATTCCTTTTCTGTGCTTAGTGTGAAACCTAACTACATTTCTTGGTCAGTGCCCACACCGCTAAAATGCTCAAGTCAGTTGGCTCTCGGTGTCATGCCTTATTTCCTGCAAGGCATGCCTCGATTCCTCAGAAATGCACTATTTGTCTCACTGCTTAAATATGTCCAGAAGGAATGATAATATATTTAAGAGACTCTATACAGAGTCTGCTTCCTTGGGGAGCTGTATACCATACGGTTACTAAATTCTTCTGTCTAGATTTGTTTTTCCCCCCTCCAAAATCCTGCTCTCCAGTGTTTATCATACTCTCAGTTCATAAATAATATAACCATTGAAACAGTCCATCAGCCTCTGGTTGATCCTCTGGACGTAGCCATTATAATAATCAAATGCTGTGTGACCAGGAAAAGAAAACATTACCGTTAGAAGCTTTAAAATATGAATTTATCACTATTTCACCAGAAATAGGTTTACAGAAGGTATTATTCAAGTAAAACATGTACACTTTTTGCCTGATGCTGTGGGGTACATGATTAAAACAAAAAACTCCCTTAGACCTGCAGCCGTTAGCGTAGGAACGATGGACTTTAGAGATGATACAAGATATTTAGTAACAGCCCCGTCTGATCTCTTCGGGATTTCTGAGGGGGGCAAGAGGGGGGCAGGAAGCACATACAGGTGTGACCCTGGGTGGTCTATGGCGAGGTTCTCAGTGACCAGGCTTCACCGACACCCTCTCCTCCAGTGAAACGACTGCTCTGTGTTCCGTGGCTGCTTATAGAGTCTCCACTTAGAGTTTATCAGCGGAAAGGTTTACAAAATTGAATCTGGTTGAATCTCTGTGTAGCGTTCAACTTTCAAGGGTCAACCCATCTGCCGGCATTTTGCACACTTATGTATTATTATGATGCAGCATATTACTTTATGGTAATTTTTATTTTTGCATATAACTACCTCCATAAATTCGATGAAGCAGCAGCAGCGCGTTCAGGTGTGTTGCTTGGAAAAGCCAAGTTCAGAACTTGTGCGTCACTGGGCTGTGGCGTTCTGTGTGTGTGTGGCGGCGATTTGCCCACGTGGACTCATGACTTCTTCATGGCCATGGTTTTCTTTTACGGCATCATTTCACGTTCAGATGTAAGCCCGTTTCTCCCCTCTTCCCCACAGAGGCGCACTTGATTTTGTTACGGATTATATAGGAAGTTTAAATTTCTTATCTCCTCCTCAATCCCCCAGTCCCTGCAAAAAGCTCCCTCAAAAAGATCCCCCTGGTGAAGAGCCAGTTGGTAAACAAAACGTAGCAAGCGATTTACTCCTGTAAAAATCTGATTTGAATTCTAGGTTTTCAGGAACAGGAGACACATGAGAAATTTGGACTTCGAAGCACTTTGGTCCTCTCTGCCTTCACTCCCATGCTACCCTATCGAGCCCAAACGTCGCTGCGATGAAAAGAGCAGTGCTGTGTATTCAGCTTCTGTTACATAGTTTGTGTTCCATTTTATATATTTTGTACATCTCAGGGGACCTAAATGAGCATATGAAAATGGGGGGGGGGTGCCATCGGATAGAGAAAATAAATGGGAGAGCTGAAAGGGGACTAGCTGGATAAAGATAACATGAAAATGACTGCTTTCCTGACTTCATGAAGCTCAAGTTCAGGAAGCAGAAATTGAAAGTTAATCTGGAGTAACAGTGATCCAAACACCAGCTGTTCCCAAGCCTCCCTTTTCCACAGCCCAACCAGCATTTCTAAAATGTAAATTTCAATTCTGTTGCAGTCACCTTGGGGAAAAAGAAACCCCCTTCCATGAAAACGAAAGCATCTTTCTCTTGTTTTTTGGTTGGCATAGCTAGCTTTGCAAAATTCTACCCAGGATGAACCACTTATCACCACAAAGTGTACTTGAAAGTAAAGTTTTTTAATTTAAATGATAGACATTTGCTCACAATAACAATAGCGATCATATTTTGGAAAGTCTCATCATTTATAACATGGGCAGTATTTGGGACTTGATTACAAACCAACAACAACCTATAATGACTTTGCAAGTTCATTTTGGCATCTCAAAGTGCTTCCAAAGCATTCGATTCATAAACAGTTAACCCAGCAGGTCCTGTGTGTAATCCCCATACTTGAAATGAACAGACGGAAGGAGTGACAAGATTACCCAGAACACAGTGGCAGCTATCGATTATCTCTTTTCTATCTGTTTGATAGACCATCCTGAGAAATCACTCAGTACAATGCTATTTTTTCTGATGTGTGCTAATAAAGTCAAAGAAAACAAATACAACTTGACACCTTTGTCCACTTTCATTCAAAAAGTTCAGGGCGTTTGGAATTGTACACCTCAGTGTACACCTTACTGGTATTGATTTATGATGTGGGGAAGTCAACCAGTCCGTTCAAATGCCATTGTGGTCAGAAGTATATCTAGACATACACCCTTGTTTACAGTTTCATATCGGGCTTCTCTGATCCCTGTGCTAAAACGCCATCTTTCAGGAGCATGACCGCTCCTGGCAGTGGAAGGTGCTGACACAGAAATTTCAGTTAAAAACTGTATCATGTACTCTTCACAGTGCTGCTTAGCACAACAGAAATTCAGTACAATTATCGAGCTCTACTCCGAATAATCTGGATTTCCAAGGGAGCCGATCTAGTTCCAAGTGTTTTCTCAAATTAGGAGAAGGTTGATCCTTGACGGGTACCTTCTCTGTTGCTACAGGTCAGTCACAGAACCCGCCGGCTGTGTGCTGGCAGGCGACATTGGACCTCAGCAGAAGTGACTGTTTCCTCTCCCCAGGACTGTCCCACCCATTGTCAAGACAGCCAATACTCTTCTGTTCCCAAGTGAATCTTCTGCACATGTGTAGGGCTTGGGGAAGCTAAAACACAAGAAAAAAATGAATGCAAAAGCCATGGAAAATACTGTTTTGCTTTGGGTTAGTAAAATATGGGCAGGAAAGGGATTACCATCGGTCCAATCTTTGCCAAGTAAGATAAAAGAATCAGCTGTCACTCCGTCACTCTCCGAGAAGGGTTTACAGTATTAAGGATACATCCATTATTTTCCCGTGGATTTTTATTTAGCACACATTTCATAAATTATATATATATATATAATTCATTATTAAATTTCCTGGTGCGTTTGAAACAGACATTGGCATCTCCCCGACTGAGTTAATCTCGGCATCTCTTGCAGCAGCCTCCCAGAGACTCCCCGGTGATGGCTCCCCTAACACGTAAGCCTGTGTTTTCACAGTTGTGTTTTCTCTGACTTACAGTTGCTGATTTGCAAGGTTCAGAATTCTACGAGGCTCAAGGGGGACTCAGCCTCCTTCTTATGATTGTATACTATCAGTTACCGGGCTTTAAATCGCTCCTGTTGGCTTCAAATGCAAACCCACACGCACACCCCCTGCCAACGAGGGAAGGGGCTGTTCCCAAGCGAGGCAGTGATGACTGGAAGCCCACGTGAGGCTAGAAGCTTGGCTGGTCCACGCACAGCTGCCTACCTCCCTGGCCAAAGGTTGACCTTGGCACCCCCTTCCCTTGCTCCCACCAAAAAGAGGTACCAAATCTGAGATCTGAGATCTCCAATATCAGTCCTCTGCAGTTACAGGAAACTTGTCGTGAACTACACGCTCAGCAGCTCCTCGCCTTCCAGTCCTGTCCTCGCCGCAGGTCCTCCCTGCCTCCCCCCCCCAGACACCCGTGCACCGCCGCGGTTTCCACGTCGGAAGGGCGAGATAGTGTGTGGTACTGCGCACACGTGACGGGGCAGCTCCAGAGCTAACCTCGGGTCGCCTTCCTGTAAGTACCGACAGCTACAAATTAAGGTCCTTAGAGTAGTTGACATAGATACAACTTTCTAGCAGAGAATTAAATTTCAACGTTCAGTTTAAAAGGGATCATAATTCTGCAGGTATCTTTCTCTGAGTGACTGAATGTGACTATTGCATTAGGGTAAATGAATTAAGAAGTGCAAGTGGGATTTACTGTATGTTAGAAAGGAGTTTTGCAGCCAAGACTGCCTTGAATAAAATGTGTTTGCACTGAAAAAAAAAAAATTTTAAATTACTTGGTCTCTGGTTGCTGTAAAGGTCATCCAAGATGGATGTTCTGTTTATATTGTATAGTATTTCATATGAAATAATTACAGTTCATGAAATGTCTTCCCTAATGTTACTGATTTATAACAGCACATTTGTAACATGGTTTCTATCGTGTCAGTGTGCCATATTGTACAGGATGGTTACTTGTCATGCTTAGTATAATAACTTAAAAGGAAAAAAAAGCACAGGGATTTTTGTAAGTCTATATTTGAAAGTCCCTCCATATGGTAATATTGTGTTCATGTTGTTTATGTAGTGTTGTGTGAAATATCCATTTTGGATTGTGTTACTTTTTAAGATATTAAATAACATTTGGTTATATGTCTAAGTGGATTTTTTTTTGGTAAACAGAAAATACTTTAGGTGAGGCCAATTTATTCCTCTCCTGCATTAATATGATTTTATAACAGAATTTTATTGCACAATCATGATTAGAGCTTTGGAATTAAAACAACTAAAAAACGGAAATTTCCGATCAAAATCTTTTTCCAGGAATGTTGGAAAGAAATCACATTTTTAGGTAGCTATTCAAATGTAAAAGACTGAGCTTTAGAGGTGCATATAATTAAGTTTTTGTATGAAATTATAAAGGCATGTGGTGGTTGTTTTGTTAGCACTTCACACAACTTCTATCCCCAAATAAATGTGACCCCCTCTCCAGTAAACACTTGGAGATACCCCCATCTTCCGATGAGGCCCTTGCACAGATTTGAACCCTCCACGTTGAACTGCCTTCAGAATCTATTACACATTCTTTTGAGTCTCCTCCGTGGTGGCAAATCTTTGTCCTGGGAGAATGGACTCCCTTTTCTGGAACCAGAAGCGATCTGTTCGAACGATTAAGCTAGGAGACAACGTTCTTAATCAAAACCAATATGCCGCTCTGAAGTCGAGCCTGGCTGCCCAGCAGAGGCAAAACCCCCAGCAGGCTCACCGCCGAACCCCGGCCGTGCCATTCGGATACATGTGGGCGACCCAGGCGACAGCCGTGGAGGACGAGTCTTACTTTAGCTGAAAGAGTTTGTGTCTATATTTCAGACCGTCCTGGTGCAGACACTTCATTTTTCAAGAATGAAGTTAGGGAGCAGGACTCCTGGGAGCACGTGGTGCGTTTTACGCTAGACCAAGGCCGCGGGGCTGAGGGAAGGAAGGGTCGCCTGTGTGCCTTTCAGAGCGGCCCAGTCGCCTGGACGCGTGGAGGACGTGCGGGGAGGAACTGCGAAGGTGGAGGCAGGCCCCCGACGCCTGTGAGAGCATAGTCACAGTTCATAAAAATCTTTTCTAGCCAGAGGAGACGGTCTGGTTTTAACCCATTTCTAAGCGTTCAGAGCAGTGGGGTTTTTTTCTTCCATAAAGACAATCCAAGCAGAGAGCTCGCCATTCACCCCAGCCCTGTTCCAGCTGAGAAATCAGGAGCCACCGGAGACTGAAAAGAAGCCACCCGCCCGCCTTGAGTGACTCATTAGCTGCGACAGCTCAGGCCTGCCGCGGGAACACGGGGCTCGGGGATACTCCACCTCCCCGGGCTCGGTGGCCCCAGGCTTTTCCTGTAAAGTAAGTTGTCGATCATGCCACGCACAGGGCACCATGCGTGATGAAAATGCGCAGCGCGCGTTGAGCGCCCCGCAGGAGCTTCCAGAAGAGGCCAGGCCAGGCGGGAGGGTGGGGGAGCTGCGCCGGGAGCGATGCTAAGGGGCGAGGCCGCAGATGAGGCGAGAAGGGCCGGCGGAGTTAGTTTGGGAAGCGCAGGGCGAAGAGGGCCTGGTGCCCAGAGGAGAGAACGGTCTCCCCTCTCGGCAGAGAGAGGGCTTCGGGCCAAGGCCTGCGGATCGGGGGCAGGGAACGTCCTGCCTTGGGGCAGCCGGGCTTGTCCAGGCGACCACTTCGGTGGGTGACCCCAGATTCCATCCAACACATTCCTCCCAGGTGACCTTCCTTCGTGTCCCCCGTTTTTCTCTTTGTTGTACAGTTTCATGCATTACTTTTCTATTACCTAGGGTTTATTTTAGGTAATAAACCGATTTTTCTCTACATAAAACCAGTCATTTTTGTTTGTTGTTACGCTATCTTGTCTATTAATATTTTATTTAGACTCATTCCTGGTCTTTGTTATACATACGTAATGATATATAATATTTATTACTAAATTAACATAATAATATAGGAATATATACAATGTATACTTTATATACATAATTGTTATGTACACAACTGCCGTTGATTACTAGCGTTTTAAATTTCACATTTATATTGCCTTGCCCTCTTTGTATCCGCAGGCCACGATCTTCCTCCAGTTTAATTTCCTCTCACCTTTGCACTATGGGCATTTTGTTCTCCAACATTTATTTTATTTTTAATTTTTATTTATTTTTTTAAAAATAAGTCTTTACTGATTTTAGAGAGAGGAAGGGAGAGGGAGAGAGATAGAAACACCAATGATGAAAGAGAGTCATTGATCGGCTGCCTCCTGCACACCCCCAACTGGGGATCGAGCCCGAAACCCAGGCATGTGCACTGATCGGGAATCAAACCTCCATCTCCTGGATCCTAGGTCGATGCTCAACCACTGAGCCACGCTGGCCGGGCTGTTCTCCAACATTTATATAGAAATGTATGACCAGCTGTTTCATCAAAGGCCTGAGAAATCACTGGCAACTTTCAGAGATAGTTGGATGATAGATAGGTGATAGATAAATAGATGTTAGATAGATAGATGATAGATAGATAGATAGATAGATAGATAGATAGATAGATAGATAGATATAGATGATAGATGATAGATAGATGATAGATAGATAGATATTGCATTAGACCAAAGATCTGTGTGTTGGTATAGTCTGTAAGTGGCAATGAAACAGAAAGAGATTTGTCACGCAAGAAGATACAGTGTGGCTTCCGACCAACCACGATGATAAGGGTATGTGTTCGTTGTGTTTTTACACTTCTGAACTTCCTGGTACTTTATTTTTATTTATTTATTTATTTTAGAGAGAGGAAGGGAGAGACACAGAGAGAGAGAAACGTCAATGTGAGAGCAACATCGATCGGCTGCCTCCTGCATGTGCCCTGGCCGGGAATCAAACCCCCAACCTGGGCATCTGCCCTGACAGGGAATCGAACCTGCCACCTTTTGGTGTACAGGACAATGCTCCAATCAACTGAGCCACACTGGTCAGGGCTCTGGTACTTAAAAATACTCTAGGATCACTTGAGTATTTTCTGCCCCAGCCTTAGAATCAGCCACTTTTCCAAGGAGCCCTGGCTTCTTTTATTGGGGGATGGTGTTAGAAACGAAGACCCAGGTGCTAGGTAAGCCCATTGCTCTGGAGAGCCAATATTTCTAGGCCCTTCAGGAAATAGAGCAAGGAGGTCTAACCTGTGTATCTAGACGTGTCTATAAATACCTCCATGTGTAGCCTCTGTGTCCTAGCAGGCCCCCGCGAGCTCATGCGCCCAGCGCTAATCCATCACTGTACAGACCATTCCGCTCCCCCCACTTACCTGCGGCCTCCTACCCCAGCCGTGAGGACCCTGGCTCCCAGCACCTGCCGCTCGCTCACTTAGCTGTTCCCTTGCAGTGTATGTGGATGGTACTCCATCCACTGCACTTTATAAAACCGGGTAGATAAATATGGATGATATTTTTGACCGATGGGAAAAAATAGGACATTTCCTCAACTTCTCCCAAGTAGGTGGCTACTTAGCTCGACAGAACAGTGACCATACGCTTATTCATGGAGTTATTGGGTCCCACTAGGATAGCTCTAAAGAATTTTAAGGTTCAGAGTGAAAGGGGTCACTGTTAATATTATTTAATGTGTATCTTACCCCATGTCGCACTGTCAGTACTTGGAAAGTGATGTGTTGACTTCATAGTAACACCATCTGTCTGGTAAGCCCGTTTCCTTCTCCCACTCCCGGCCTCGGCATATCTAAATGTTAACCATATTTCAGGGCCTCGATCACATGCCTTCCTCTCCCCAGGGCTTGTCTGAACCCCACTTTCCACTTTCCTGCCTGCCTAAGGAGGGTCTCTTTCCCTCCCTCACATTTGTCATTTCCGACCCTGTTCTCCCATTTTTGTCTTAAGGTCAGGAGTTCAGACTCCTGCCCAAGACCATGGCCTCAGCTGAACAATTTATGCCACTTTTAGACCATTTTCTGGGTTTCCTGGGAGGCACTTCCTCTCGTCACTGTTTCTCGACGGCCCTTGTGAGCTCTGGAATCTTCCGTTGTGCAAGAAAGGGGCCCGGTGTGCTGGCCTCAAGCAGGGTTGCAAAGGGTGGAGCACTTTGCCCAGCCTGCTTCTGACCTAAGCAGCCTAGAAGTGGGCTCGCTGTGCTGCTGGAAGTGTGTCTTCCCGATTACAAGAGAAAACCAGCAACCAGGGTATGGCTTTGGAAATGCCAAAAAGTTGTTAAAAGTTTGAAAGCTGAGCCCTGGCCAGTGAACTCAGTGGTTAGAGCATCGGCCTGCACACCAAAGGGTCTCGGGTTTGATTGATTCCCAACCGAGGGCACATACCTGGGTTGCAGGTTTGATCCCTGGCCCCGGTCGGGGTCCATGCAGGGGGCTACCAATCGATGTCTCTTTCTTGCATAGATGTCCCCCCACACACACAGACTCTCTCTAAAATTGATGGGAAAAATACCTTCCATGAGGATTAACCAAAAAAGAAAAAAAGATTGCAAGCTGGGTGGGAAGCCTTAGCCTCTTCTTGGTTTGGCCCTTGGGCTGGGGGCTCGGAGGAACTGTTTCTACTCAGCATCCTCAACGTGTGTGTGCAGCAGGAGGTGGGAGAGGAGTGAAAGGGGTGGTCAGAGCCATGAATTCGGTCAGGACCAGCTGTGGGCGTGAGGGGCAGCCTTGAGGGGCGGGGCGCAGGGTTCATTCGCGGGGGCTCTCCCCAAAGCGGGGGGCGTATTTAAGACCGTGATCACAATCTGTTTCCTTTTAACCATATCTGAAATCTAAAGACAGCGGACTATTATTTATGCAAACTTTCCATGAAAGTATAACAAGAAATTTTCCTTCTCTCCCTCTTGATTTCAGGTTCCCCCCGCCCCCACCTTAGCCACATGTTTTTCTTTCTGTTTCTTGTCATTTCTTCCCCCAACCTCCCGCTCCTTCTCCTTTTTGCATCTGTGAGATTTTGGCTACAGCTAATTTTTCATTTTAATGTTCCCATTTCTCTCCCTCTGCCCGTCACAAGCTTTTAAAACAAGTTCTTGGTTTTGATTTCTTGATAATTTCTGTTACATCTTCCTGCAACAGTCCCCAGCGGTGGCTAACTCATTCTGTAGCTGCAGTATGACTGTTTT